TGGCATACGAAGAGCCTACCAAAATTGTAGAGAGAATCGGCAGAACGTGGGTGACAAGACTCTACGTATATTTATCTATGTTAGTCAAGTCTGGCCTCTCTTAGGAGAACCGACGATGCCACTGTGGTGGAACCTGTCAGTGGGTGTGATCATCCGGCCATCTCGTTCATGTTCAATCGGCCTGCAGAAACGAGCTCCCTTTGCAATCCTCCAGTACAGCCAGATGGTATCAAAACCGCTCATATCGTCGGTGCTGTCGTCGGAGGAGTTGGAGGCTCTTTCATCATGGCGATTTTATCGGTTTGGGCTATAAGAAGGAGAAAGAAAAGCCTACATGCCGCCAAACCAGACACGGCGCGCAGGAGACGGAAGATGATTTCTCAATCGCACAAAAACTACCCGCCAATTTGATGCGTGTGGAACTTGATGAACAGCGATACGTCGCTGAACTGGACGGTGAGGCAGGAAGTCTTCATAGAATGATGTTAGTAACAACCAAGACTGACAACAAGCCGGCGTGGAATAGAAGCAGCGCTAATACGATCTCTTCCGCGTCCCCACTTCTTGTGCGATAGTCTTTGTCATAATCTCTTAGTTCATATGACAATTTGTGTCATTCTTTGTTCATCAGCTCTAAGCATCCGGGTACCTGGCTTAGTAATTGCTTATTATGGAATTAGTGCTTACTCTGAAAAAAATTCAACCTCGCTTTTGTGACTTACCCTGCTCCGTTCACCTGCACACACGAGCTTTGCAGGATTTACGCCCTGCACGCTGCCACGGGCGTTTGCGGCTATCGAATCAGGTACCACACGTCCTCTCAAGGGTATGTTACATCCCGTCATCCTTCCTCGTTCAAGTCCTCTAGCATCCAGACTTTGTTTCAGCTCTTCCAAAGAGTTGCAGAGGCGATGTTCAATGGCGCATAGTCTCAGTCACCAGTTTCCTCTATGCCTGACCGCTTCGGCCACATTCAGTGACCATCATATCTTTGAGGGGTACTGACGCCCGCACTGCCTCACTGACTCCGGGCTGGTGTGCTGATTGTGGCGTCTTACGTTCGGGGTTACCCCACTGTGGGGTGAACTCAGCGGGGTAGACTGGGCAACTGCATCAAATCAATCCACAAAGTCTTATCGCTAGGTCAGCAAGCTACGCGAGATATCTGGCATTACCAACACATCCTTGCCGAAGAGGATCTGGACGTAGAGTATGACATCGCAAGATCCTAAGCCTGAAATGTCTCCACAAGGCTTACCCACTAGAGAAACGGGGTTCACCTCATAAGCTTGATCGCTCTGGCGAAACGAACTCGTATCTCCATACAGATGCAAAGAGATTTCTTGCTGTATTCATCACTCTGTGAAGACCACGACCAGGTGTAGCCAGTTGTTACCAGCGATCACTCTCTTCGCGTTCTCGCTGTTAAATTACATTCCCACAAAGAAGAATATCATCAACAACACGAAGCCATGAGTTCCTTCAACGACCATGGATTCTCCGTGACCCATCTTTCCAACGATGGTTGGTCTACCGAGGATGAAGCTACTGCCACATGCTTTTGTGGAGCTGTACAGGTGGTTCTGGTTAGTTTATCCAGGCGAAGCCTGCTGCAATACCGCTTTGCGCTTGCATTTCACCACTCCCGACAACAGACTGCGCGAGCTAAACGTTCTGCAGCCACTCCAGAAACCTGGTTTGATAAACCGTCATGTTTGTCATTGTCTCGACTGCCGCAAGATTGGTTCCGCCTTCTACCAATCGAACATCACTGTGGCGGACTCACATCTCAAGTACGTTCGTGGTGAGAACAATCTCGCGACATTCGAAGAGGCTACGACAGTACGTGCCAACGCATCTATGACAAATTATTTCTGCAAGACATGCGGAACTCTGATGTACCGTCGCGGCGCTCGATTTCCTGAGATGACGATCTTGCGCACCGGCACTGTGGATGATCCCGCTTTAGCAGAAACCAGGTTGCGGCCACAGGTAGAGCAGTTTATCGAAAGGAGGGTCGCCTGGTCGGTGCCGATTGAAGGTACGGCACAGACAGTAGGAATGCATCAGCCTTCTGACATTGCGAGGATTCCGTAAATATCTCACTACCTTTGTGCAACTGCCTACAATCTTGTCTTCAAGCCTCAGTTAGCCTTCGACCTAGCATGCTTCGACCTTCGTAAAGGGACGACAGGTCCTCTAAAATCTAAGCCATACTGCCGTCCGACATTGCCGTTCTGTTGCTGAACAGAGCCCACTGGCTGTGACTTCGCGTATCGTAAGATGAAAAGTCTCCAAAGTGACAAGTTGGCAGAACACTTATCCTATATCTGATAGTTGAGCGACCCGAGCGGTGGATGGTCCCTTTCTCCAGGGGATTGCGCTTGATCCCCTGATGAGAACCCGAAGATGCCATCGCAAATCGCCTCGTTAAATGCGTGCCCTGAAATCGTGTTATCAAAAGGCTGTAGAATGGCGTCCCAACTGGATGGGAACATTTCAGATTCTGACCCCACGGAAATTCCAGCTTTCGCACCTTGACCTGCGGATGGAAGAGACTGAGAGGGGTAGACGCTAGCCAACATGTTCTGATAAAGCTGCTGAATAACATTGAAAGCTGAGCTGGCCAGGTCATTCGTGGGTTCAAGAAGTTTTAGTCTATCCAAAGCCCACTCTAAATTCCTCTTTGCTGCGGGGTATTGGTCTGCAAACTCATCTGGAAACCGAATGTGCATGGCTGCAATGAGTATCGTAGCATCGAACGTGGCAAATACCAGTTCAAAACTCTTGTGTTGCAGAGGCTCTGTCCGATCGAAGAGGCGGGCCTGTGATTCCAAAATCTGCGTTGCGAAGTAATATGCCTTACTGCGACTGCTTGAAGACAAAGATACGAACGGTCGATGCAGGGCAAACAATACGAAGTGTACATTGGTGAACATGATTTCCAACGCTGTGGAAAGCCAGGCAGATTCGTTCGAACGTGATCCCTGGGGTGTAGCCCACGCAGGAAGATTAGCAATATTAGCGAGGATGCTTTCGTGAAGCTGCTCAACCAAGAGAAAGCCATTAGCCTTCTTCTCGAGCCCGTGTATATCCTGCAGATATTTGTAGGCCGTATGAAAACCACAAAGAATGACGTCGCGGGGCCGCGGCAGCTCCTGCTCGATCGGGCTGTCATTCCACGAACCGGGGAGGGGGATGTGGCTAGGATTCAGGTTGGTCACCATCGGTCGTCCCAGAACCACAGCCATGTGGGCATCCCAAAGATGGAGCATTAGCCAGACCCTACATCCCAAACTGTGGTCTGGTAGATTTTGATGCCCGGGATTTAGCGTGTGGGCTGACGTCTCCAGGTGAAGACCGAGTTCTTGACCGTTGCGAATCGCAGTTCCGATAGAATGCCACGCCTCTACCACCTTCCCGGTATTCTTTTCAAAAGAAGCGCGCAACAATCCAGCCTGAATCGTTGTGAGAGTGAGCTTACTTTTCTCAACTAAAGAAGCGAGACGCAGGCCTGCATCACTAAACTCTGCTGCTCGATCGGATAGTTTCATGTCGGGTGCATACTTCAAGTCATTTAGACTGTCGTCATGGTCCAATGGTTGGAATAGTAAAGACTGTGCCAAAACTTGGAATAGCAATGCCGGAAAAGACCAGAGGTCGGCTGTCAAACCATTTGGGATTTCCTTCAGCTGATTATATGAGAGACTTTTCCACTGAAAAAGTTGGTTCAGAAAGATAGCTTCGTCCACTATATCGTAATGCCATGATACGTTCGTAAAAAATGCGTGCACTAGCAATTCGATGTGCCTCCACGATGGGAGTTCTCGGACGATCCTTCTGTACTGGTCTGCTGAGGGGCTATGCCGAAGCCCAGGATCGGATTGGAGGCTGGGGGGACCTGCGATGCAACAAATGATACCCATGGTTCCGTTGCTGTCATTGGCATAGCCAAGATGTCTGATTGCGGATTGGGTGACCGTTGACAGTGTGGGAATTCCGTCTGCGTAGGTTGGCGGAGTGACAGCGGGTAGACTTGGCTGATCCTCGAGCTCAAGAGGAAGATTGGCGGGTTGCGCACGATCATCATTCAGCTGGTAAAGACAAATATCCTGTTCCGTTAGCACCGTGGCACAATCCAGGACGATAGCATACACTCTTGCCGCGCTTTATGCAATGTAAACATGGTTGCCGACGATCGCACTGTATGGTCAGCCTGGCTCTCGGCATGAAGGTTGTGAATATTACCTTTTGCTTACGTCTGTGACATTCACGGCACGAAATTGTGGGGCGGTTGCGTCTCGCATGTGATTCAACGTGGCCATTGTCGTCTTGCATGGCGGTATAGCTTTAGCAAGAGCGAGACTTTGAGGGGATGAAGCTGGCCGACAAGGAAATCAATGCACAGAGTTGAGACTGATGATACATGAGGCGATAAAGAGCCACTTGGCCCTGACGGGCGCTAGGATTACGAAGATGAACAACCCCCACCTTACTATGACAGAGGAAGAACTGATGATTTACCGAGGTTAGACCGGACAGCCAATCAAGGGTTGCCGGATCCTTCCTAGCGGCTTCTGACGGCTCGATCGAAGCACGGATCGTCTACAGAAGAACAACTACTTAGTAGTCGCCCGTATCTCAGGCACCTTGAGCTACGTCCTCTCACTCACTCGACCTATAACCCGTAGGTATCATCAGCGGTATACCGATCCCGTGCACCTTGCTCCTTTGTCTCCCCGTACCGTGAGATCTGATGTAGATCGAATTTAGGTAAGTGAGCATACTTTATTTTTTTACACCAACCTAAGGGGTCAACCGTTTGCAGCCATCAGGGAGTCCATTCTCTGGAAAGACATACGTGACCATGCTGTGTAAAGCAGGCGTCATCTCGAGTTGGGTACATAATCAACCATGACAAGCAACCTGGGACTTGTAGAGAGATGTAGTCTGCGCAGTCAAGTAAGACTGACTCAACGATGTGCATACTGCGTTCTATATTACGTTTTCACTTGTTTGAACCAGGCCGCGATTTCGCCTATGTTACGATCGACGACATCCGGCTGCTCGTAGTGCTGGAAATGCGACGCGCCATTATCCCAAACCAGCTTCTTGGCCTTGGTCGGGATCGATTCGAAGTGCCTCTTTGCTGCCGGCGCATTCATGCAATTATCACCATGTATTACCAACGCTGGCTTATTGAGTTTTGCCACACCATATACGGTTGAATAGCCAAAGTGATCTAAATCACTCATGACCGCGTATCGATTCTCGAAACCCTTTAATGTCCAAGGACCATACCACGACCATGGAACCGGTCCAGGAAGACCAGCAAGTGAGCCGACACTAGGGTCTGCAGCTTTGGGGTCCACAAGAGGTTGGTAAACGACCTCTCCCGTTTCGTCGTACAGTTCCTTAGCTTTTCTGGCCCTCTCAATACGCGCCTGATAGAGAGCTTCTCCTTGCTCAGGTGTGGGCATCTTCATAGCTCCTACATCAACGCCTGGCTCGATATTGACGCAGCCAGCACAGATCATGTAAACATCCGTCTCGTGATCGCGATAGTATCCTGTCACGGAAGCCACAGCGATGACACGATCGTCGTATGACGCGACATCCAGGCACTCGGGACCGCCCTGGCAAACACCAACCAGAAACAGTTTCTTGGCATCCACATCACCTCTACTAGCGAGGTAGTCGAGGCCGGACACAACATCTTCGTTCTTCATCAGGGGGTTCTCGAGACGCCGCGGCACTCCAGTACTCTCTCCGACCGTGCGTGGGTCGAAGATCAAGGCGGCGTAACCTTCGTCGGCGAGCCGCGTACCATATTGTAATGGGGCTTGCTCCTTGACGAACGAGTATGGACCGAGGACAACAACGCCAGGAGGATTTGTGATGCCTTTGGGCATGTAAAGGATGCCAGTGATTGTCTCCCCGTGAGATGGGTAAGTTACTTTTTCGGTAGTGTACCGGCCGTGGCAAGCCATAGTATGAGCTGAATTCGAAGAAAACTGAGATGGTGATACAAAGGATTGACAACTGATACGGAAAGGCTGTGTTGAATACTGGTTGTTGAGCCAGCGATGGGGAGGATACACCTGGACATACTTATATAGTTTGATATGAACATACACTTGAACACAATCGATGCCTTTCTCCTGAGGACACGTTTGGTCGTTCGACATAGCCGTGGTTCGTGCATCGGCCGTCCAAACACCGTCTGTGGTTTTCGGCGATAAGATGTACTCGACTTTCGGCGATAAAACTCACCTACCCAGGTTCGGAGTTTCGGGCTCACAGACCATCGCCATTATGACGCTAACGACCAGACCATCCTAGCGCGGCCGCTGAAACCCTGTTGACATTGACGGGCAATCCGCGCAACCGTTGCCCCCGATCGGTGGTCCCAAGCGACCTGACAGGGTATGCTCCAATACTTCGACACGCGCACAACGAGTCAATGGTTCTGCTCTGTTCGCAGAACCTTCAGTGTGCACAGGATATAGCGATATACCTTTTCCGAGATCGTAGAGATGCTCTCTTTACACGATATAATGCAACATGTTCTGGAAGTGTAGGTTACCTTATGGGCAAGATGCGCTGTATCTGGGTTTGTTACATCACACACGATATTGAGATTGACGGACAGCCTGGTCTCGGCGAAGCCTGTTGCAAGGCGCACGTATCGAGACGCTGAGATAACATGTCGACGTCGTGTAGGCATGTGTATCCGTGATTCAAAGAATGTGTGTTTGCGACAGTTTATTGAAATCCCGAAGGCCGTCGGCGCTCCAGGCGATCCATCTTCGTACACACAGCTGTGCTCACATGAAGCATCACCCACAACGCCCGCTGAATGCCCCGAAGAATTGCGCAATGCATCAGCGATATCGTCTTCAGTCATTGGTTCTATTCTACGCCCGTGGTAACATGTGTTAGTATATGACTGCATTGCCGCCCGGGCGTACGAACCCCGCATGTTCCTTCAAGACTTCTCTGGGCCTCAACACAACCCTACTAGAGATAAGGTATTTACGACGGATCGTATGGCGGTGTCTGTGGTCCAAGCCTCTAGCCGAAATCCTTCAATCCAATGAAGGTACTACTTCATGCGGTCGGAGTTAGGTGTCATGATCTTAGGGCATATTGGAGCGTCGGGCATAGAGCTAAGCGCCGAAAGAGTATCCAGCGGCATGAGGCTTTAAAGGCTGAACATGCACATTCATTCGAATCAATAGCACCTTCCTCCTCATTTTCCCGAATCTCTCCTCCCGCTACTCCAACTTGTCGGTGAACCGGAACTGTGTCACACGCACACCTAAAATGTCTTCTCAAACGCCAGTCTGGTTCATTACGGCAGCCTCGAGTGGCTTTGGCAAATACATAGCTCTTGAGGCTCTCTCTCGCGGCCACAAGGTTATCGCCAGCGCACGTAGCACGTCGCGCCTCCACGATTTACAAGAGAAGGGCGCAGTGACTGTTGCACTCGATGTCACAGCACCGCAAGCAGAGATCGAAAAGATTGCACAAGAGGCTAATGCGCAGTATGGCTGTATTAATCACTTAGTCAACGCGGCCGGCTATATCCTTGTTGGTGCAGTCGAGGAGACTTCGTAAGTCATGCTCTGGGCACCCGGTACGCCTCGAAGATATTGGACTGACTCGAAAGCAGACCCAAGGAGGACTTTGATCAGTTCAATACCAACGTATTTGGCATGCTGAATGTCTCAAAGGCCTTCCTGCCTTACATTCGCGCTACTTCTGGTCACCGCACTATCGCGAACTTCGGCAGCATTGGCTCCTGGCATGGTGGTGCGGGCTTCGCGCTCTACGCTGGCACTAAGTGGGCATGCAGTGGCATCTCCGAGTCGATGCGCAGTGAGCTTGCGCCGCTAGGGATCTCTGTGACAGTTATCGAGCCGGGATACTTCCGAACTGGCTTCCTCAATGCTGGTACGCAAATCAAGAGTGAGAAGAGAATCAAAGAGTATGATGAGACTGCTGTGGGCGAGGTCAGGGCGACACTGGATAAGGTGAATGACAATCAGCCTGGTGATGTAAAAAAGGGTTCTAGGGTGATAGTCGACATCTTAACGAAGACTGGCGCCGCTGAAGGAAGAGACGTTCCGATGCGCGTGGCGCTGGGCTCAGATTGTTCTCCTGGCATCCGCGAGAAGATTGAAGGAACCATGAAGTTACTGGCTGAGTGGGATGCGATTACAACCAAGACTGACCACGAGTAACTTAGGGACGGCAAGAAAGCACTAGTTTAGCGTTCCGCATAAACTGCGCGGTTGATGTTCTGATGCGCAGCTATATACACGGATTTCATTTGCAATCATCGAATCTCTATACTCCGTACCAGACGGCGGTCTTGTGAAACTGCAGACGAATATGTTCTCGAGTATGAATTAGCCAACTTAACCCTAACCCGCTAATCACGAGTAACAATCATTTGCAGTGCGTCTGCTCACCTATGTAATCGTTGGTGTAAAACCAGATGTTCATGTTACGAGTCCGCAATCGCAACAACCAGTCCATCGGGCTAGCCATGACCCCGTAGCTGCTCAACATCATAAAACGATTGGCAGTTTTCCAGATCAGTTGAAAGTAGTTTATAGCCATTTCATGGGGGTCTTACGGGGCGTAACCCTCCTTACTCGTGATTATGGTCGCACGGTCTTGACGTGTCTTCGCTGCTGGATGTCACCCCAACATCCGTACAGTGGTAGTAATAGCGGACATGATAGGCATGTACGCTAACAGTGCCCTCTACCCATGGTCACCGTCTACCCCTATTACTGCTGTGGTGCTGACGAGCGCGCTCTTCTACTCGTCGTCTTACAGGTAACAGACTAACAACGATACCAAGAGTTTCAAGATGTGAGCCTCCAACAGCTCTTACTCCTCTTCGTCCTTCTCCTTGTCGCTCTATAGGTCGTCATCTCCGCCTTGAATTAGATAGTGCTATTCTGCGCTTACGACTTCGTCCTCGTCCTCATCTGCGACTTGCTTGTTCTTCTACAACGACACAATCTCGCTGGGCGTTAATTCGTACAGTGACCTGTGTCCCCAACACCCTTTGATCTGAAAATAGTGCAGGCGCTTGGAGGTAGGCTCACCATGGCCCCCTTTGGTCGCCAACCATCCGTCTTGATGCACTACGACGAGGGACGATGTACATGTGCGACGCCGCGTTACAGATGCTGTAAGCATATGACAGTCGGGATCTCTTACAAAACAGGAACTGAGGTCTCTTCGGGAATCTACGCGGCAACATCTTGTCCCAACACTCCCAACATTGATGTCTATGAGTTTCTAATCGAATTGGAATTCACGACATGATGCCAGGACATGCATTATCCCACCATCGGTACCATCTCCTGTACTCACAAGAACAGCGCTTCTGCGACGGAAAGACGGTTCAGAAACTACCTATATATGCTGTTAGTACCTTCTACCTGTCTACTTTTGTTCTTGTCCTACAGCTGTTCGTAGTAGTCACGACACGTTCGCCTTTGGGCCGCTTCGCTGGGTTGTCTACCGTAGAGTAGTCAGCGATGTCTCGCTACACATCCTTGGGCCGGGTTTAGCAGGGTCCTAGCGTGTATGCATCCACCATATCTATGCGCGCAGAGGTCTTATTACTAGTATCTCAATTGAGTGAACTAACATCGCGATACTTAACGTGCCGTCTCTACGCTGAGGTATTATACAGCAGTACCTTCGCTCGACTCCCCTGCCTTCGTCTCAATCTTGATCTCCGGACCCTCAATCTTCTTCACTTTCCTTCCTTCCCACCACGACATGATACCGGCGAACATCGCGACGCCGCATCCCAACGCGATGAATGTGCCTGTTGCCCACGTCGGACGATCCAAGCGATTGTAATGCCACATGAAAAAACAGAGGACCGCCTGCAGCAGTGTATTTAACACCATCATATCAACCGTGAACGCCAACTTCCACATGCTCGTTGGCGGCGCCCTCACTCCCGTGAATGTAGCCGGCTCCAGGGTCTCCCCACCACGTCCTTCGCTCTCGGTGAACCACGCAGGTGGTCGGAACCACGCTTTGTTCTGGTTAAAGAGGCGGCGCATAGCGTTCGGATCGTGGAAGTGAATGGCGCGCTTCACCCAGTAGAAGTCGCGGAAGCGCCAGGGTGCGAGGCCAAAGCCAGTGACGCAGAATAGTGCGTTAAGAATCTGGCTGTCGATCTCGAGCCAGATCTTATTCTGACTGTAGTCATTGTCGCAGTCGTAGATCTGCGTGCCACGCACATGGCACATGGCAGGGGCGGCCTTTAGGAGCAAGAAGAAGAGCATTGCGCCCCATGCCTGCAAATGTCAGCGCGCATGATTGTGGCAGGATAAGGGTCAACTTACCACGACGTTGAGGCCATAAATCGTGATCAAGAAGCCAGACGGTGTGAGGAAAAACACCCAGAATGCTTTCAGACCGTTCTTGATGGTCGAACCCCACGATTCCTTGTGTTCAGATGCGTGCTTCTCCTTCAGCGTCTGTCGGCGGCGGATTCCATGCCCATGATGCCTGCGCAAATGCTTGTGGGCCTTCTCGTCTGTTTCTCCTGGTAGCACAGGTTCGTCTGTCGCTGGGCGGTCGAGGACTCTGGTTTGCGACTTAACCAGCGTAAGCTCGCCATCTTCGTCCGGCTTCGCGATAAGCGTCGCATGGCCATGGGCATCGAAGGTGATGTTTGCGCCGCCGACTTCCGGTTCTCGCAGCTCGGTCAGATTTGGTGCTTGAGCCATTGCCGTTGCTGTGGCCTGCCACATGCCCAGCTGCGGCGTCGTGTGCAGCAGCGATGACAGGGACATTCCTCGCGCCCGCCCTGCGATGCCCTTCTCCTGGTTGTCCGTCATGGCTGAACGTGTATGCGCAATCGGCGTCGCGCAAAGTGTCCTTTCTTGTGTCCAAGGCGAAAGTGAAGGTTGAAGAAGAATAATCGTTATCGTTGCGATCGCATGTTCCTCCGCTGTTCCTCCGTTCCTCCACGCGGTTCAAGCTAGAGGCGCTTGAGCCTTTGTATGCGGATCTCCGACGAACGTGATAGGCGTGCCAACGCGAAAATCATCTGCGCGGTGATGCGCGTGCGTCGGTGTTGAGGTCCAGGCTATTGAGAAGATCCGGCCGACTGTGATTACTTCGTACGATGGTACGGGCGATGGTTTGCTGGGGGCGGTTGATCGCCAACCGAGGCGAGACAACGCGCTGTGGTTGGCGAGGCCTGCCGCAAAAGACCCGCAAACTGCAGATCTAGAGCCAGAAAAGCAAGAGGTGAGCATTGGCGCTACCGCTCATCTCAGAAGGTCCGACTGCATGCCCAAGCAAACGTCGATAATCTTACATTATGTCATCCAAGCCGTAATCTTGGGTCCGTATATATCGACGGGGACCCAATGTAGTCAGCATTAGCAGCCGGTATCGCTGTCGCCATGCCTTTGAACTTCCACAAGAACCAGAAACGCGGGGAATTCCATGACAACAAAGCGCAAAGTACCGGACGAGTCAACACCTTTGGCCAGGTCGCCATCCAATTCCACAAGAACACGCATGCGCTGAGACATTGGATCGATAAGGCCCAGGATGAAGCCGCGGCATGCCGACCAGCGCGTTGCGCAAGACCGCGAAGAGGAAGCACAACCTTAGTGGATGAGTTCATCAAGGAACAGACCAGCAACACCAGTGCACCGCGATTGAACATCGCAATACATATCTGTGGATCTCGGGGCGACGTGCAGCCCTTCATTCCGATCGCGAAGCTGCTTCAGGCCGCTCCACATCACCACCGGGTACGCATCTGCACGCATCCAGCTTTCAAGGATTTCGTGGAAAGCAATGGCGTGGAGTTCTTTTCGATTGGTGGTGATCCGGAAGCGCTAATGGCGTACATGGTGAAGAACCCTGGCCTGTTACCCAACATGCAGTCCATCAAAGCTGGTGATATCGGCAAGCGACGGAAAGAGATGGCTGAAATGATGGACGGAACCTGGAGAAGTTGTATCGAGGCCGGTGATGGTATGGGCGAGAGAATATCAGCGTTGAATGTAGACGCGGCGGAGGACCTGTTCATTGCCGACGCTATCATCGCCAATCCGCCTTCAATGGGACATATCCACTGCGCAGAGAAGCTGGGCATTCCGCTGCACATGGTCTTCACGATGCCATGGTCGCCGACGAAAGCGTTTCACCACCCCCTCGCGGCTATGGAATATGGTGAAGTCGAAAAGTCTGTGGCGAATTACTTCAGCTTCGGCATTATGGAGCTGCTAACTTGGCAAGGGTTGGGAGATGTCATCAATAAGTTTCGAACGCAGACTCTAGGCCTAGACGCGATGAGTCCGCTGTGGGGCCACCGGTTACTCCCAAGGCTTCGTATTCCGTACAGTTACCTTTGGTCCCAGGCTCTGATACCGCGGCCGTCTGACTGGGGCGACCATATCAACATCACGGGATTTTCATTTTTGGACGCCGGTTCAAACTACACTCCGCCTGATGACTTGGCCGAGTTTCTTGCCAAGGGACCACCACCAGTGTATATTGGCTTTGGTAGCATCGTGGTCGACGACCCAGTGGGCCTCACCAAGCTTCTCTTCGAAGCGGTGAAGCTAGCAAAAGTTCGAGCGATTGTTTCCAAGGGTTGGGGAGGTGTAGGCGGAGGTGACGTACCAGACAACATCTACCTTATCGGCAACTGCCCACACGACTGGCTGTTCAAACGGGTATCTTGTGTTGTGCACCATGGAGGCGCTGGTACAACAGCTGCCGGGATTGCATTGGGAAAGCCCACAGTTGTCGTGCCGTTCTTTGGTGATCAACCCTTCTGGGGACAGGTAAGTCTGTGACGATTGATGATGGGGTTGTATTGACCTTTGCAACAGATGATTGCTAAGGCTGGTGCCGGTCCGGTGCCTGTTCCTTTCAAGCAAATGACTGCAGAGAGCCTCGCCAATAGCATCACCTTTGCGCTCCAAGATTCGGTCCAAGTTGCTGTGCAGAAAATGGCCGCAAGTATTGCAGAAGAAGACGGCGCTGGTGACACGATGCGAGATTTTGAGCAGAGGTTGAATATCGACGCCATGCGATGTCAGCTATGTCCGGAACGGCTGGCTATATGGCGTGACAAACAGACTGGGGCACATTTGAGTGGCTTGGCCGCATGTACGCTTGTCGAGAAGAAGGTACTCGATGTGAAGCATCTACGGCTACTGCGACATCGTCATTACTACACACATGAAGGAGCCGAAGGACCATTCGTAGGTGCCGTAGCAGCCTTCGGAGGACTCATGGCTTCACTTGGCACAGATACGTCAGACTTCTCTCAACGCCTGAAGAAAAGACCACGCGAGTCGGACCTTGAAGCATTGAAGAGAACACTGACAAGAGACGATTCGGATGACGCCAGGCTGGAAAAAGGTATCACTTCGAGGCAATTCCACCACCTGGCATACAGAATGGCAGCGAAATCTTACGAAGACGATATGATTCACAACTTCGAGAAACCTTCAAGTCGGCCGGGGCTGACTGCCCTCCGTGACAGAGTCGCAGCAAGGAGAGCTAAAGGCGGTCGTGGGTACCAGATAGTCAGCGCCACCGCACACTACATCGGTGATCTGACAGCAACTGGTGCCAAGGCACCAGTCGCTCTGTTCTACAACATGGCCAACGGCTTTCGAAATTTTCCGTCGTATGCGATACGTAATGATCCTGCCAGGCGAAGAGATGAGATTACTGGGTTTGGAAGCGGATGCAAATTAGCTGGGAAAGAGTTCGTGCTCGGCTTCGGCGATGCATTGGTGGGTATTGCAAGGCATCCATATCTCGGTGCAAAGCAGGAGGGCGCTCTTGGCTTCGGTAAAGGGCTTGGTAGAGGTCTTGGTGGTCTTTACTTCCATTCGATGGCTGGTGAGTTGACTCTACATTGTGAAATATGCCTATCTAACGTTACCAGCAATCTTCGGCGTACCAGGATACTTCTTGAAGGGAATTGAGCGGGGACTGTTGGCGCGCCATCTCACTGCTGTCCAGGCCGAGATCTTCTTCATTCAGCTGCGCCGATCGGGTGTTGGCTTCCGTGGTGCGAGTGACGCCGAGAAGGCAGATCTGGTAGCGAAGTGGGAGGAATTGAAATCGAGCATAGCCAGACATTAGCGTAGGATCAGTGTAACGAGCGCTGCAGCCTGCAAAGCTTAGTGTTGTGGTGAAGGTCGTGAGACGTCAAGGTGACTAGTGCAGGAACGGCCGGTGGTTGGGCAACCGCGCCCGCGGGCCCCGTGGCCCCCACGCGCTCTAATTCGTCCGCATCAGGCTGCCAACACTAGACGTGCTGAGACAGCTGAAGCCGTCACAAATAACATGCTGAATATTGCGCGGACCACAGAACTTTCTCTTCCGCTTTAATGTGCATCCGATCCTCACACCTTCTAGTGTGTTACCAGTGTCGGCTGAGTACGCGCAGCAGGACGCCCATCACAGCCTCCTCAACGCCATCGACGCCCAGACGAAGACGCACCAGATCTCCGTCGGCAACTGCAAGTAGCGCGCGGACGCGATGACTGCAACTGAGCTCAACCGCATAATATGGCAGATTGCGCTATCTGCAGCGGCTGCTGCCATGAGCGTTTTTATGTTCAAGCTCGTGAAGATGCGCACGATCTTCTACAAGCTGAAGAAGCAAGGACTGGTACGCAACCCAGCCGAGCACTGCCGCCTATTTCAAGCTGACGCGATACAAATTGAAGCCCATGCCGCCGTGGGACTTCGCAGCTGGTAACCTCAAAGTGCTGCCAGGACTCCTTGAAAAGTTTCCCAAAGGCTCCCAACAATCTGATGTATTCACCCTGCTATCGAACGACTTTAAGGACTCTGACAACTGCTTTTATGTCGATCTATGGCCTTTTAGCAGTCCGCTCCTCGTAGTCACCTCGCCAGATCTAGCGATACAAGCATGTCAAGAGCATGATCTTCCAAAGCCTCCAGTTCTCATACCGTTCTTTGCACCCTTTGCGGGTGGGCCCAATTTGTTTGATATGAACGGCGCGGAGTGGAAGCGCTCGAGGGCGCTCTTCAACCCGGGCTTTAGTGACAGGGTAATGCTTGGGAGCATACCGCACATCATCGAGGAAGCCGAAGTCTACGTGAAGCTGCTGCGAGAGCATGCGAAGAAAGGGGATACGTTCTCGCTGGACAGATTGACGTGCGACTACATGATGGACGTAATCGGTGCTATCACCATGTGAGTGCATGTCGCTTCGTTGCAGCGTGAACTTGTGCTGACATGCTTTAGCAATACTCGCCTTCACTCCATGACTAGCCACAATGCGCTTGCAGCCGCCATGCGAAGCTCTATCGAATGGCATTGCCAGGACGAAGAGTTGAACCCTTTTATACGCTGGAACCCTATGCGACCCTTGATCGAATGGTGGAACGGCAAAACCATGAATCGATACATCGGCATCGAGCTGGACAAACGATATGAAGACTGGAAGACCCATGAGCCATCTAATCGTGCAAGTTCCGTCATGGACATTGCGATAGCAGCGTACATGACCGAGCGCAAGGCTGCGGCGAAGCTTGATGCCGACTTCAAGAAGTGGGCGACTATCCAGATCCGCCTGTTCTTGTTCGCCGGGCACGACTCGACCGCTGCAACGATTGTTTACAGTCTATATCTGCTGTCCAAGCACCTAGATGCTTTGGCCAAGGTTCGTGCAGAGCTCGATGAGGTCTTTGGATACGGCATCGACACAGCTGCTACCTCACTGAACATGCATCCAGAGCGCATCAATAAGATTCCATACACCACCGCTGTCATCAAAGAAACCCTGCGACTCTTTCCACCAGCTGCTGGCATGCGAGGTGGGCTTCCAGGTGTCTTCCTACGTGACAAGAGTGGAAACAAGTACCCTACCGAGGACATTAACATCTGGATCTTACACGGAGCAATACAGCGGAATCCAAAATACTGGCCTGAGCCTCATGAGTTCCTGCCGGAGCGCTGGCTTGTTGAGCCTGGCCATCCTCTGTACCCGCCAAAAGGTGGATGGCGGCCATTCGAAGCTGGCCCAAGGAACTGCGTTGGCCAAACGCTTGCGATGCTGGATATCAAGATCACCTTGGCGATGACAGTCCGCGAATTCGACGTTCATGATCAGTATGAAGAGTGGGACCGGCTGCATCCTTCGTCTGGTGTCCAGACGGTCTTTGGGGAGAGAGCGTATCAGGTACCGCTGGGAGCAGCGCACCCTGTGCACGGTTTTCCTTGCAAAGTCACAGCGCGAGAATTCTTGAAGAGTTAGTTGGTATAAGAAAGAAGAGTTGAGATTGGTGGAATCGGATGGACGCATTATCAGGCCAGTTGAATCTTCTTCTTCTGAGGTCCTTCTCACGTCGCTGTGTTGAGAAATCATGGGTGAGCTTGATGTTTGGTTGGGTTTTGGCAAGAAGGTTCCACTCGCCTGGCTTCCCCCGCTTGTGACCTACATTATCTACAATCCCCGACAGTTTGTAACATAGAGAGCATCCAAAGGCCGAGACTTCGAGAAACTATGATTGACCAGAATAAGGGCCGAATCGGTAGAGGCTGAGATAACAATTGTTCGGCTATCTTAGCAAGTGAACTGCGCGCTGCGACAGTTTGATTGGCTGCTCTGGGTCTCTACACCCCAATCTGTACTAAACGCCGGAGACCTTCCTAAACTGCGGTAGCGTGGCGCCTAACACGACATATGCACCCACCAAGTTACGGAGCGGCCCTTTCGTGGTATCGCTATCTTTACATTATTCGTTAATGGATGCGTACTATATCTGGCTAGGACACGCTTGCGTAGGATATATATTAATCACCGTGTGGAGCACCTGCTCAAGACGGCTTGGCAAGCCGAAGCATTCAATCGGAACCGACCAAGCTTTAACAAGAGATCATGGGGAAGCTTAAACACCTGCTCAAGACAGCTTGGCAGGTTGGCGGACTCACCCGAAACTGACCAAGCGTTGACGAGATATCATGGGGAAGGTTAAACACCTGCTCAACGCAGAGTGTCCCCCGTGCTGGCACACCATCAATGAGTTGAACATTGGGATATCACCCACGCCGAACGCCGGAAATTCCCGCCGCGATAGTACTTAAGAGGTGACTGATGCTTCAATGTTTGATACTCATCACTTCGAAACCCGCCTCCTAAGCAAGACTCTTTATCAAAGCTTGTCAATATGCTCACCAAGACTCTTCCGATCGTTCTTCTTGCTGGCGCAGCTTCGGCAGCTTGCCCTCTCTCTGTCTCGATCGCTCATGCAGACAACCATGTTGTGAACGTTCAAGTCACCAACACCGGAAGCGAGACGATCCAAGTCTTCAAGGGCAACACCGTGTTCAGTTCCCATGAGACCAAGGACTTGTTGGTAGCCGATGCAGGTACGCATACCTTCAATGACGATTACATGCCATGAATTCATATTGACGGTCAAAACAGCTGGCAATGCTCTTCCTTTTGAGGGAGTCTACGTCAACTACAAGAAGACCGGTCTTACTGCCGACAACTTTCAGAAGATCACGGCTGGAGAGACAATCACCGTGCCGGTCAATGCAGCCAAGAGCTACAAGCTCAAGGGCGTTCAGAAAGCCAAGGTCTCCGCTGTCCAAGGTTTCCGCTACGCCACAGGAGAGGAGGCTCCCGCTGCTCTCCAAGACCTGTCCTCCTGTGCGGACCAGACGACTGGTGCAGTCGAAGTAACTCCGGATCAAAGCAGCGCAGCTGAGTAAGCTACGACCATAACTCTGGCAAGACATAGGAACTGATATCAGCTCCCTAGGCAACACATCTCTCACAAGCGCTCTGAGCCTGCTGCCTCCCGCATCCAGAAGCGCTCCATCACTTACTCCTCGTGCTCGACGTCGCAAACGTCTACCCTCAAGACTAGCGTCTCAGACGCTATCTCCATGGCCGGTGCCGCATACACCGCCGCCGGCTCCGGAGCCGACTACTTCACCACCTGGTTCAAGTCAACTTCGGTGAAGTCCAAGGTACAGACCATCTACAACGACGTCAAGAACGTGCAGACAACCTCGCCCAAGATCTCTTGCACAGACACATACAACGACTGCAGCGACGGCTCGGCACTTCTCTACACCATACCCAGTGCGAACGTCATTGTTCCCTGCCCCAACAACGGCTTCTGGGATTTCCCCGAGCTTGCCGCTCAGTGCAGCAACGACGACTACGACAAGGCCGGCAGCATTCTGCACGAGATGACGCACTTGTACGGTACAAACGACTACGGATATGGGTATGTTGCAGCGCAAAAGCTTAGCGCCACCCAGGCTGCTGCAAATGCGGATACGTACGAGATGTTCGCAGAGAGTGTTAGGCTTGGTGGCTGCACCGTTGGTTAGATAAAGTAGTTGAGGGGATCTATCTATTAATTCACTTGTTAACTTCTTCTGGCTTTCGACCGCGTACTGCACGTTTATGCATCGTGTTACAGGCGTGATCAGGCAGTCCGGAGGGATGTTGAGATACGGTACTCTGCGCTAAGACATCCGCTCAGAGCGCGACGGTTCTCGAAAAGTTACTTGGCATGGGAAGAGAGAATTGAGATGTCTGGATCTGGAAGAATTTGTTACCACTGCTTGACGTGCAGCGCGTTTGAGTTGAGTGCATTCATCTATAACAGGTTTTCTCAAGTTGTTAGGACGACTTAGACCAGCTAGCTAATTAAAGCGCTATGTTCGCACAACATGCTCAAAGATTTCCAGCACTTTGATAGCACGGGCTGTAGGTTCATATGTTAGTTTGCCGACGCCTTGTGAGATTGGATCGTTCTTGACAGTCTCCCAAAGTCGATCGTGGTTGCCTTCAGCAAAGTCAAGGAGGGCGTCGCGAACAAAGACATCCCGGGTAACTTGCTGATCACCACAATCAGGACGCTGCTGACCGACAATACCGTACATCTCTGTACCGTGTACTGCAGGCGCACCTTCGACAGGTCCAACTGTAAGCAGACGTGCATTACCACCCGCAGCCGCATGTGCAAGTGCTGCGCGGGCAGCGGGCAGGGTGAAGAAGTAGTCAGTGAAGAGTGCCCCTCGCACCTCGACCGGAGTGCGGCCGTTGACATTGTACGTAGCGACGATTCTTTTGGCGCGGCTTCTCGGAATGCGCGACTTTACGACAAGCTCTTCGACTATGTTGGAGATGCTGCCCGGGTCGAACTTCTCGGTCGCGTTGAGAACCCACCAGTCCGCCTCATTTGACGTCGTGCTGAAGATGATATCCACTCCACGGCATGCCCCTGATCTGAGCACCTCCAGCGGTGTGCTATCCAGAATCGCTCCAGGTTGAGAGCGATCGTCTACAATGCCGATAGTAGTATTATCTATACCATGTCGGTCACCGATATCGCGGGGAGTGACCTTGAAGAGTGTCTCAGCAAGAACCTTTGCGTCTAGGTTTAACAGTTGCTCAGGATCATCAGCGATGTCGAGTGCGGCGAGGAACTTCATTGCCAGTTCTTCAGCCCACCAGGCTGGAACAATGCGGGATGCGCCTCCCGAGAACGCTGAAAGACGCTTGTAGAGCCCTCTAGCGGATGGAGCGGCGAGTAGGCCGATGGCCGAGTAGGCACCGGCACTGTGTCCGGCAACAGTAACATTTTGGGGGTCGCCACCGAAACACGCGATGTTCTCCTGCACCCACTTGAGTGCGGTGGTCATGTCCTGTAGGCCAAGGTTGGTGGCGTTGGCAAAAACGCCGCCATATTGAGAGAGCGATAGCCAACCGAATGGGCCAAGTCTGTAGTTGACGGACACACAAACAGCCCGGCCAGTTTTGGCAAGACCTGAGCCATTCGATGTTGCCGAGGTGTTTGCACCCACTTCAAAGCCTCCACCAAAGATGTAGACTATTACAGGCAGTGGATTTCCGTTCGTTTGGTCGGGTGCCCAGACATTCAAATTCAAGCAGTCCTCACTGACCCCGTTCTTAGCATTGAGCCAGCTGGTGTCACCGGCCTGCATTGGCGCAGGGCCGAGGTGATCAAAGGATCGGTTCCGGTCGAAAGGCAGCAAGCGGGGTCGTTGGAAGCGTTGCGCGGTGGCATAAGGTATCCCAAGCCAAGATCTTACTGTCTGGGTTGCAGTAGACATGTTCATTCTAGTTCGGAAGGTGTTTGGAGGAAGCTCGTGGAGGGTGGTGCGTTAGAGGTGAAGGTGATCCATGGTCGTTTAAATGCAGGTCGCTGGCGACGATAGAGAGTCGACTCCATGCTACGCTAGGTTTATCGTGGGTATTCTGCGCCCTCGTGAATTTCCGAGATAGCCCCATGTGGTAAGTTTGTCATCGTTCTGACGGAGTGCTTTGACGCACTTTCCATCTACGCGTTGCACGCGACACGTTTAGTGAGCTGCTAGAGTAGGTCTATCCATCGGAAAGACATGACCTTAATTCACGACGACTCTGCTACCTCCTTGAACACAGTTAGACAGACTTGTATGCTGTGAATGTTTATGACGTTGTAGTGCAACTGCACGTCTGCCAAGCCGCCACCATAACGTTATGCTTAGGACAAGAAGAGCACAAGCGTGAGAGTATCGTCTTAGTGGGGGCCAAAGAAAGAGGATGATCATGTCCAAGTCGGTCCGAAACGCGAGTTCACGTGTTGACGCGTCATGCAATTTGTTTCCGTGCCTAACGCCTAACACCATTTCCGGTTCAGACACCGAAACTTTCATTGTGCCAAGTTTCTAGTTTCAGTGTTAGCTGTTTCCGATGGAAGTAATAAGTTATGAGAGCAACACACCCTGTGTACGGCTTTCCTTGTGAAGTCACGGCCCGAATCTTTTTCGAAGAGTTAGTCGGCCGGTCCCCCGCACAACAGTAGAGAAAGACAAGATTCGTTCATTTAATAGACTAGTATCAGATCTGTTATGAATCCTATAATTCTAGCGACGTTAGCGACATATCCCCTCTCAGATCACGCCTTGGTTATAATTGAAATCACGCCCGGCCGTGACATTTCCCATGAAGATAGGGCCACCACCCAGAGTTGCTAACAATCAATCCAAACTGATGAGACTGACTGACTGACTGATTGCTTGGCAGTCAGTTCAGTGTCAGTTTAGAGCTCTCGTCTTATCAGTCAGTTCAGTTTAGAGCTCTTAAACTG